CACCCCCATCTCCTACCTACTAACCTCATCCCGCCCCCTTGACCTGTCCGTCCTCCCTGGACTGACCTATCCCCTCCCTACCTCCCCACCTACACTCACCTCTACTGGCTCCATCCCCGCCTCTTTGACCTGTCTGTCTCCTCTCCACCTATCTGCTCCTCCATCCATCTTCTATCCGCCTCCCCCCTCTCCCTATTTATTTCAGAACCCCCTTCCCCTCCCCCATTTCTGAAGAAGGGTCTAGGCCCGAAACGTCAGCCTTCCTGCTCGGCCTGCTGTGTTCATCCAGCTCTGCACCTTGTTATTTCAAATGAAGCTGCCTGATTACATCATTTTCACTGGGTATAAAGTTGGTAATGTTTTGAAATGCAAAAATATTATAAGCAAGACATATAATTCAGTTCACAGGATCACAGGACTGAACCAGTTCCACTTCAACATTCATTGCTTTTTTTTTTCTCTTGCCAACATATAACACAGTCTTACGATGTTAAGCTATCAGAAAAATCTGATGGGACTTGGACTCTTCAACCAAAGTAGATGATGACTGACAGGTAACCTTACAGAATTGGTGTCAAAGGTAAATAGTGTGAAAAGGTTAATCAACAGCTATTTCAAATGATGAAAGTAGTACCAATTCAAAATGGCAATTGTCAAAATGTTTAAAAAAATGAAAGAGTAACTGCTGACATTTACAGTAGCCAAAACTTGAAATTGAGCTTTTGATAAAATATTGTACACTACAGCCTTGCAATCAACATTGAGATGGGCACAATCAGAGTCATGACATTCAGCCTGGATGCATAAACTCTCATGGGTTGAATGAGCTCAACAACTATTTGAAATCTTAATGGTTACTGAAGCAAAACGTAATCAGATTTTTGCACCTGAACTATGACTCCTAGGACCAAGTGCCAGCCCATTCACAACCAAGGACTACAAGCACAAATTTTGTACAAAGTTACTGCACCTTTTTTTTTTTTTCTTTATTCATTCACGGGATGAGGGCGTCGCTGGCTCGGCAGCGTTTATCACCCATCCCTAATTGTTAAGAGTCAGCCACATTGCTGTGGGTCTGGAGTCACATGTAGGCCAGACCAGGTAAGGATGGCAGTTTCCTTCTGAAGGACATTAGTGAACGAGATGGGTTTTTCCCAACAATCGACAATGGATTCATGGTCATCATTAGATTCGTAATTCCAGATATTTATTGAATTCAAATTCCACCATCTGCCACGACGGGATTTGAACCCTGGTGCCCAGAACACTACCTGGGTCTCTGGATTAACAGTGCAGCGATAATGGCCACTAGGCCATTGCCTCCCCAAGCTCATAGCCATATAAGTGACAAGAAAAGTAATCCTGTTTTATCACATATGTAAGCACATTGTCAAAGCATTATTGGCTCCAACGCACAAGAAGAAAGTGGAATGGAACAGAAGCGATGGGGTAATTTGAGAGTTATGGGAACAGATCAACGTTTCTGCTGCCATAGATGTGACTCCAAGAATGCATGTTACCTCCCTGGTGCTATGACTGTTACAGAGCAGCTGCAAGACAGGATGCTGGGGGAGGGGGAACAGACAGAGCACTCAGTCCACATTGGTTTCAACCTAAGTATGAAGGAGAATGAGGTCCAAAAGCACATTTTAGAGAACTAGGATGGAGATTAAGGAAACTGGACCTCAAAAACAAACAGTAATCCCAGCATTAATAAAATGTCTATTTTGTTGGTGAGCACAGGAATAGGAGAATTGAGCAACTGAACGTGTAGCTGGAGAACTGGTGTAGGAAGGAGGGCATCAGACTTCTAAGGCATTGGGACCAGCTTGTGGATAGGAAGTTTACAAGGTTGCATCTTGCAGGACCAGAACCAATATCCTAGCACGAAGACACTGCTATTAGGGATGGTTTAAAATAATTGGAAGGTAGAAGGAAACAGGAGAAGGATCGCAGATTAGAGGGAAGCAAAGCTGGTAACAGGAAGTAGAGAATAAACAAAATTGGAGGACAAACAAAGCTAATGCGAGAATCAAATATGATTAGAATGCAGAATAATGTTAAAACTAAAACAAAAGACAGTCTACCTGTATGCATGCAAAAGGTTAATAATTTGAAGGCACAAACTGTGTAAATCATTTAAATTCCATTACAAAGTAGTGGTTACAGGGTGACCAAGTTTGGGAACTGAATACTGAAGAATATTTATCATTGTGGAAAATGATTTAGCCGAGGTGGTTGTGCAATATCACGGAACTAGAAATCCAGAGCCTCGATCTTTTATTCTGAGGACAAGGGTTTAAATCCCACCATGGCAGATGGTAAAATTTGAATTTATAATATCTGGAACTAAGACTAAAACTCTCTCATGGCAATCAAGTAACCATTGTTGATTGT